GATATTGCTGCCGCTCTGGATAACAAGTGTAGAGCGGTTCTTATCATGCTTGATCTGTCTGCTGCATTTGATGTCATTGACCATGGCACACTGTTCAAGCGTCTGGAGTACTCTTATGGGGTGACTGGTGATGCATTACGCTGGACCCAGTCTTACTTGAATGAACGACGACAGTGCGTTGCCATTGGATCAACTGTTTCAGACAGCAAAACCTTAAACTTCGGAGTTCCTCATGGGTCCGTTCTGGGACCTAAAAAATACAGTCTTTATTCGAAACCAATCGTCGGAGAGATTTGTCGTCGTCATAACCTTCAGGACCATTGTTATGCCGACGACACAAAAATCTACATGGTTATCAAACCTCAAGACAACTGGGACATAATAGTAGCAAGTCTTGAAGCCTGTCTAAATGACATCAGTGCTTGGATGAACTCAAATAGGCTCAAGCTCAATCAGGAAAAGACAGAACTGATCGTCTTTTCCCACAAGTGTCAACACACTAACGGTCTCCAGTCACAGTACAAGATTTTGATGTATACATACAAGGCAATAAATGGAACATCTCCTGAATATTTGCAGGAACTTGTCACCGTTTATCTGCCGTCACGATCACTACGATCGGAGACAGAATCCTTGTTGTGCGTTCCAAACTCTCGGACTGTGACTTATGGTAACCGGTGCTTTGGAAAGGTAGCGGCCACTTTGTAGAACAGCTTACCATCTGCTACTAGAAAGTCAAAATCCCTGGCCAAATTCAAGAGGGATATTAAAACCCACCTGTTTACGTCTGCATTTTAGACTCTCACGCAGACGTCCTGTATATACATACTTTCACCACTACTTACTTGATTTGGTTACTGTGTTACATATGTTGATTACTGTGTTATACATGTTCTATAAATTTTGTAGTCAGATTATTATGTAATTGTGACGCGCATTAGAGTATTTTGTCAAAATAGATAGTGCGCTATATAAATGTTGTATATTATTATTATTATTATTATTATTATTATTATTATCGTATTTCATGCCCTGGGCAACTCCAGTGCTTCACAAGCCGATATTTAGGGGCTGGTTGTATCTGCTCCTCCACATGTCTTACAACAAAGAAATTAGTCTGTTCCGATGTATATAAGAATTACGCTTCCGATGCAACAAATGTAATCAATTGTTTCTATTGTTTGGGTGATGAACTCCTATACACGAGAAACAATATTCATGAATGTCACTTACTGATGATAAAAAGTATTGATGATTTTCAACAACTCAAGTGTCTTTCCCTCCATATGTCTAACGTATCTGTCAACTCTGCGTCTCTTCAGCATTTATTACACGAATAGTGTACTGTGCGCTGTACAGGATGTCCCTTTTAGATCTGCAGTGATCTTAAGTTCTATATCACGTCTCTTGTATGTCTCTTAATGTTGGTGTAGCTTTGTATCCACATATACAACAGGCTTGAAGACTTATGTAATCACCGCTCTGTGTTTCTTCCTGTCAAGACATATGTTACTGACAACACCAGTAAATATAGCGTTTAGTCGTGAATGACGCCTGGCTACAAATGGGACGGAACATTGGTGTAGATCTCTATCATATCCGGTTTTCAGTCTCTGTTATCCCTATCCATCCCTACAATCTTCGTGTCGCCATGAAAGAAAAAAATCTACCATCGAACAAGACAATTCGTCGAGTACCCACCAGACACTTCGCTTTACCAAGGTGAACCCATACATAAAGTATGCAGTTTCGGTGACTAGTTGTGTAAGAGATTGGGCCCGGATAAACTATTTCTTTGATGTAGGTCAAAGGTCTAAATGTAGGTCAGAGTGACCTATGCTACTTATTATTCACGTACATTTGCACGACAAACTACCCCGCCAATATCTAGGTATCTTATGCATAATTTGTTGTAAAGAATAAATATCATATATCACTATCATCTTCAATCTATCACAGATATGGATTTTAATCTATCACAGGTATGGATTTTAATCTATAACAGATATGGATTTTAATCTATAACAGATATGGATTTTAATCTATAACAGATATGTATTTCAGTCTATAACAGATATGGATTTTAATCTATCACAGATATGGATTTTAATCTATAACAGTTATGGATTTTAATCTATCACAGATATGGATTTCAATCTATAACAGATATGGATTTCAATCTATAACAGATATGGATTTCAGTCTATAACAGATATGGATTTTAATCTATCACAGATATGGATTTTAATCTATAACAGATATGGATTTTAATCTATCACAGATATTGATTTTGATCTATAACAGATATGGATTTTAATCTATAACAGATATGGATTTTAATCTATCACAGGTATGGATTTTAATCTATAACAGATATGGATTTTAATCTATAACAGATATGGATTTTAATCTTAACAGTTATGGATTTTAATCTATCACAGATATGGATTTTAATCTATAACAGATATGGATTTTAATCTATCACAGATATGGATTTTGATCTATAACAGATATGGATTTTAATCTATAACAGATATGGATTTTAATCTATCACAGGTATGGATTTTAATCTATAACAGATATGGATTTTAATCTATAACATATATGGATTTTAATCTATAACAGATATTGATTTTAATCTATAACAGATATGGATTTTAATCTATAACAGTTATTGATTTCAATCTATAACAGATATGGATTTTAATCTATAACAGCTATGGATTTTAATCTATAACAGCTATGGATTTTAATCTATAACAGATATGGATTTTAATCTATAACAGATATGGATTTTAATCTATCACAGATATGGATTTTAATCTATCACAGATATGGATTTTAATCTATAACAGATATGGATTTTAATCTATAACAGATATGGATTTTAATCTATCAAATATATGGATTTTAATCTTAACAGTTATTTATTTCAATCTATAACAGATATGGATTTTAATCTATCAAATATATGGATTTTAATCTTAACAGTTATAAATTTCAATCTATAACAGATATGGATTTTAATCTATAACATATATGGATTTTAATCTATAACAGATATGGATTTTAATCTATCAAATATATGGATTTTAATCTTAACAGTTATAAATTTCAATCTATAACAGATATGGATTTTAATCTATAACATATATGGATTTTAATCTATAACAGATATGGATTTTAATCTATAACATATATGGATTTTAATCTATCAAATATATGGATTTTAATCTTAACAGTTATTTATTTCAATCTATAACAGATATGGATTTTAATCTATAACATATATGGATTTTAATCTATAACAGATATGGATTTTAATCTATAACATATATGGATTTTAATCTATCAAATATATGGATTTTAATCTATAACAGATACGGGTTTTAATCTATAACAGATATGGAATTTAATCTATAACAGATATGTATTTTAATCTATAACAGATATGGATTTTAATCTATAACAGATATGGATTTTAATATTCATTATTGTACATTTCTGAGAAACTTGTATTTCACTTTAGTAATTGTATATTCTTTTTTTTTAATGTGTAGCATATATCGATGAATAAAAATTATGATTATTTTTGTGAAGAATGTAAAACATCAATTTAGAACCTTAAAACGTTTGTTTTTGTTTATACCTACATATGTATTAACGACCAGTTTGAAAGGAAAATTAATTTCTTACATGAACAGATCTGACTTCATCACCTAACCACGTCAAAAACCCGAGCAACATCGGAAGTCACTTTTTTTCTAAATAATATTGTTTGAAACCGCCATTTTCATCCGTCTGGAGAAACCTCATCAGCATGGGAAGTTTGCCATTGAAATCGTTAGTTTGGATTTAGAGATGTAAATGACTATCTGCATTGGCATCTAAACGTATTTCGAACATATTTTTTTTTCTGTGTCAATCACATTTTAGTCCATTTCACTACAGACATCTGGTTTCCAAACCATAATGAGACAACATTTAAACTCGCCTAACTCGGGACGGGTGTATCATGAGCTTCTGCTGTTCTGTGGCGCTGTGTGGCATCAATATTTCCTTGAAACCACTTCTCAGTAACTGAAAGGTACCATATTTGGCTGTTATCTTCCTTGAATGAAGAACAAACAAAACATCAGAAAGGAAAATATTCAAGATCCCATGGGATAAAATTTTTAAAACAACATTCCAAAAACCTCTTCTTGAAGCTACAAAAATATCTTACTTAGTAGTTTCTGGGATAAAGCCCGGCAATGTCTGCAAACAGAAAGACCTCGACATATATGCAAGGTTAGTGAGGTCATACGTCTTAAAATGTTCAAACCATTTCTTTTTAAATGAAATATCTAAAATCATATTTGGATTGCTGATACTGGTAACGAAGCCCTGCCAAGCTGGCGAAATTCAAGGCCACCGGGGTATAATTTGTTGAAATATCAGTACACAAACGATTTCTTTGGGTTAAATTCAAGGTCTAGCAATATATTTGCCAGGTATGTTCCTGGGATTAATTCAGACAAAATATTGAATTTACCCATATTCGAGGTCACACTAGAGGTCAAATTTGTTAAAAAGATGTTTTTTGATGATTAACAGGAGTCAAATTTATTGAAACACTCAAACTGCTTCACCTGGCTAGAAAGTGAATTTACTGAAGTTGTTCACAACATTATCCATCAGTATTACTCTGCAGCCAAACCATGTCGACCTTGCAGTGTAAACAAGCATATTTAGGTCAATGATTATGGTTTTCATGTAGTTGTAATTTGTGGAACACACTGAACACCAGGCCTCTTGGGCCTCTTTGTTTCATTTAGAGGGAGTTGGCGCTAGCTTTCACCAAATTTGCATCACTTAGGATCACCATAGTGGTGAAAGCCCTATTTGTAAAAGTCAAAATCCTTTCAACCATTCAGTACTGGAAGTTTTAACGAAGAGATTGTTAAGTCCTCAAAATAAAATCAAAACATTTTCAGTCATTTTTTTTTTAAGTAGCTTTATTCAAAACATAATGATAACAAAAAACAGACTGGCTTAGTACAATGGTGGTGTGTGTGGTCACTCTGTTTCAGCTCTACACAAACAACAAACAATATCTGTGTATTATTTTGTGATTTACAGACAATGAAGTCATAGAGATTAACTTCACAATATTTTTATAACATGTGGTATCATTTTTATACACACTACAAATAGATACTTTTACATTGCATGTTTCTGTGTTTTTATCAATTCCTTAACATGTTTCCGAAACATAAAGATGTTACAGAATTGATAAAAACCAGCAGCAATTGATTCAGACAGCATCAACTATTTTTCTATTTTTCCAATTTTTCTCATAAAATCGAGTTATGTCATAAAATAATAATACATAACTTCCTATTGAATACTGTGTGAGAGAGAGTCAATACCACTTCCTCTGCACTGTTATTGATGTTTCCTCATACTAATTAATCAATCGTTAAAACGAGAAACCATTTTTTTCTTATTTGAACCTATTGCAGGTTTGATGAAATGAAAACATAGGAAATACTTTCTATGTTGGGGAAAGTCTATAAATTGGTCATTACTTTCATATTCCAATTATATTACACTTGGTGAATGTGTTATTTTCAATCAGCTGCTCACCACAATATTCTAACATTATTGATGTATTTTAAACTCTCTTACTTCACCACTCAATCCAGTGATAAAGTTGATATTTTCTGGTAAATCACGGGTGAAATAAAATAAAATATTATAATGACATCAACGCAGTGTGAATTTGTCATTTATCAAATAAATTGAGGTATGGTAGAAACAAGGCCTTGTGTTTTAGACATCTGTGATATATATACATATATGTATATATACTCAACTGAATGTTGACATATCAAAAGATAAATTAATTAGTTGAATAAATTCCATGCTACACAACACTAAGGATCCTTTTATATATCTTTTCTAATTTTGAACTAGGTATTTAAACCTTGTTCTAAATCAAACTAGTTTGATGTAAAAAAAATATTCTGAATATTCTATAATATCATATTCAGTATCAAAATTACACAGCAATATTGTTCTCCTTTGCAGGATCAAAAATACATGGAAATATCATTTTCCTACTCAACACCAAAATAACAGAAATATATTCTATTTCTTTAATTCTACCGCACACATATTGAAGTGAATCTGATTAAAATTCAAAAATAAGAGTTTTACATGACCATGAATATAACACAGAATTGTTTCCAATATGGCTGACTGACACAATAAAGTTCCCTTAACACTAATTTATTGGTTTATCATTATACAAGATAAAGTGGCAAAACAATAAGTACACAATACCAGAGTGTGATGACTACATCCAAAATCTCATAAAAAATGTTTTAAAAAAAGTATAGGAAGACTTGTCCATACAGGATCCTGCAGACAAACTTTGTTATAGGGGATATAATAGCCGTCAAATATGTTTTGTAGATCTACATCAATATGTATACATAAGTAATAGGATAAGTCAAATAGGACATATAAAGCAAGGTCAGTGTCTTAAAATAGTAACACTAAAGTAGGAGAAAGCAAGAAATAGGAAGATAATGTACAAGAGTGTCGCCTGCATAAAGTGACAAACATAAAGTTGTAATACCAAATTCCATTTCTATAACTTGAAGCATAAAGGGGCATAACTCAGCCAAGAAGGGTCACAGACAGCATATAGAAAATGTCATTTCTATAACTCAAAGCATAACGAAAGAAAGTCAAGAAAACAATATTCCCAGAGAATTTTCTAAGTTCAAAGGGGCATAACTCAGGCAAAAAGGTTAACAGACAGCCAGGAATCAAATTGATCTGTACCCTTGCAACAAAAAGCCAATTGCCAAATTTCACTTTGATAAATCAAAGCATAACTGAAAAAAAGTCTAGTAAACTTTAGTACAGATGCCGCCGCCCCGTGACTACAGACAAAGTGATCCCTAAGTGTCCGCCAGCTCTGCAGCCGACACAATAAGGTGATATACTATAAGATACAATATGAGGTAACTATATAACTGACAGTGTAAACAACTGATACTTTGTTTACTGGGTTTATCACCAAGGAACAGCCAGGGCCATTCTGAGGGAGAGTCCTTATTGTAGTAGCTGATAGTTACCTCACTGAACAGTATATGAAAGGCCCAACCGGAGCAATTTCTTACTCAAGGACAGAACCATTACAGCACTGCTGCCTGAAAAACACAAACCACCATGGGACCAGAGTGTCAAACTAAGCACCTCTGATCATCACCTCAAGTTATATAGGTCAACACTCTCATGGTCTCAACGGAGTCATCGTGGTTCATTCGTACACTGATACATGCTGAAGTCTTTATGCTTGTTAAACTATGCTGCAGTATAATCAGAGGGAAATTCTATAGGGGTTTTGCAGATGGAATGAGAAAAGAGAGAATCTTAAATCAAATGACGAGAAAAATTTCTTGTTTTAAATTGTAATGAACACACTTGCAGACATTCATTCAGAAAACAAGAACCAACCTTTCATCTCTTTTTTCTTTCCAAACTGTGCCCTGTAGGCTTAAATCTGTAACTGGTGCAATTTTTATCATAAAAAAACCTGATTGTACTTGTCTTCACAAAAATGAACGATTTTTAAGCATATTTTAACATCTTAATAATTTAGCAGTAAACAGATTTGAGCTGTGTTCACCTTCATTCTTCTCTTCCTTCATTCCATATTATAAATCATTACTTCCTTTACTGAGTAATTATCTTTGTTTTAATACATAGGAATATATTTCATGAAAACATAATGAATATTGTAAATCAGCTATGTACTTGTATATTATTATAGACTTTAAACAATGAAAGTGAATGAATTTTTTTGTACAATACTGACTTCTCCCAAAATAAAAACTTCTTTTGTTCAATAATGACTTCTCCCTGGATGAAAATTCATTTTGTACAATAATGACTTCTCCCTGGATAAAAACTTCTTTTGTACAAATGACTTCTCCCTGAATGAAAATTCCTTTTGAACAATAATGACTTCTCCCACAATGAAAATTCCTTTTGTACAATCATGACTTCTCCCTGGATGAAAATTCATTTTGTACAATAATGACTTCTCCCTGAATGAAAATTCCTTTTGAACAATAATGACTTCTCCCACAATGAAAATTCCTTTTGTACAATCATGACTTCTCCCTGGATGAAATTTTTTTTTGTACATTTATGACTTCTAACAATAAAAAATTTAAAAAAATTAGTAGATGAAACACTCAACAATACTTGGACAATGGAATCTAAAACCCACAAGTCCTCTCAGGCAAATGGATGAAAACTAATTAATTCTCCAACTTTGCCCAGTTATTTACTAATAGGCCCCAGTTTAACAAATGTCTCTCAACTTACAATAAGGCACTAGATTCCAGACGAAAAACAGAAAAGTGAAGGTAAAGATAAGAAATAATATATATAGATAAGTATATAGCACTTAATAAACTAAAGGGAATTGAAAACCAAATACATTCTGACATTAAAATAACTCTGTCTTCAAATGTATTCATTGTCATGCACTGAAACACGTGATACCTGCCACCAAAAATGGATAGCAGTAATGTAATGAACAAACAGTTTTAAGTTTTGCCCTTTGAAAACATTACAAATTCTGTGTTTTAAATCTTTAATAGGAACGGTCACAAAATCATCATCAATATCAATAATGTAAATGATGCCTTCCACATTTTGTTCTCATATAAAACAATATGAAATATGAGCTATTAAACATGCTGATAGAAAATACATTATCACCAGGAATGAAAATTCTTCATCTTCACTTGATAAACTGTAAACTGGCCATCACTTTCACTTGATAAACTGTAAACTGGCCATCACTTTCACTTGATAAACTGTAAACTGGCCATCACTTTCACTTGATAAACTGTAAACTGGCCATCACTTTCACTTTATAATCTGTAAACCTCTAAACTGACAAAAAAGTATACAAAACAATCAGTATGAAGTATATGTCATAGTATTGTCCCCCTCATTCATCCCTGGTTCGGTTTCATCCAAATCTTTAGCCGGAAATAAGGAGCCATTTTTAAATCTTTTCACAGCAGGATCAGGTGGAGAATTGGCCTCCCATGGTTCACTATCTTGTTGATTCTGTGAATATATCATATCCATGGTTTGACCATCACTACCATCAGTAGGCTTTACTGTAGAATCCTGCTGACTGTACTGTTTCCTAGATATCTGTTCTGTGTCCACTTCCTTGTTAGCAAAAGTGTATGTTTCTTTATCAAACTTTAACATCATCTTTCCTAAATCTCCATCAAATCTGTTTTTCACAATCTGAAAGTACAGAGACTTAACTGTAATTCATATACAACTCAAACTTATTGTTCTCTCTTTCTCTCTCTTATTCACGACACCATGCTTATGGGAAACCTGAAAACCATTAATGTTGTGGGCAATATGCTCTCCAATCTACCAATATCCATGACCACAATATTTCCCTCTCAATGACGATAACACGATTCCACTCTCTTATCTTTTCAGAAAATCACTTGTAAACGCGACCATTTACGCCACTGGACATTGTGATGAGCCTACCTTTTCTAAGTTTTCTACTGCCTGCTGAAGAAAAAGGCTAAGGCATTCCAGAAAGGAAATATTACCCACAATTCTTACATCCAACTTTTACCCTAGTGTGAGAGAAAGGAACCATTCAGCCTTGTTAAAAACAGCATATTCTCAACTTCTGGCAGGAACCTACAAATTTTTGCATCATGTTTCCAAAACAACAAGGTTGCTGAAATATGGGGAACAATATATGTTCAAATAAAAATTCAAATAAAACTGACTTTTCCCCGTCGAGTCAAATGCCAGAATTTATTCCCCATATGCTTAGTACTGTTAGTACTCTCTCACCCTCTCTCTCTATATAACTGTCATCATTTTCCTGTGTTGTTTAGAGGCCTTCAGAAACCCTTAGATATTATTTCAACACACACTATGGCTCTATGAAGCATGTGTTATAAAATACATTTCTGTATATCCATATCTAAAGATTACCATGCAATAAATGCTTACTTAAGGTCATTTTAGAAAAAACACAATCTGTCCATGTTATACTCATTATTATCAAATCATTTTCACTCCTACAAGACAAATCCAAGTATAGTTTTACCTGTATGTATTTTCCTGCACGTGGATTGGTCTTCCTTCGGTCCTGAAGAATAAGTATATTATCAGCTTCCTGGGTGGCTTTAGCTGAACCAAATACAGAGGCTGTACATAGTTCCTCTTCCTTTTCCTGAAAATAAAGATAAACAAGAACTCCCAACATTTGGTACAACCTCGACATAGCACCCTAGGTTTCATTTGCCACTTTTTTATCATATCAACAAAACCCATCAAAACTTTGTCTTTCTCTCCCTAATAAGCTCTTAAGTTACACTATATCATTAATGTTCAAACTAGCTCTATCCAAGTCTCTTTCTTTTTTGATTTTCGTAAGATGAAAATTTGCTATTGTCAAGTACTTACCTTACGTGGGTGAATGACGACAGTGATGTGACAGTTCATGGTTGTAGCAAAATTTCTGAAACTGCTAATAATACGATCCTGCATATTAAACTTGTCATTATCCATAACTCCCATCATGAACTGAAGGTTGTCAACGACGATGTGCTCAATGTCGTGGACATACACAGCATGGGTCATTGCCTGTAAATGCATATATTTAAAAAAAAGTTTAAATAATAATAATTATTGAAAATTTCAGATCTTGTAAAATGTGTGTTTGACCTCAAAGACAAGTGTACATTATCAGAGACACAGGCTTCCTGAGAGAAGTAAAGACAAATTTGTGCTCTACACTCTGAGACTTGTGAAAATATACCACTAAAGTCTGGACAATAATAATTTCAAAATAATTTTCAGCCATTGTTTAGAATTAAATGTCTTCAAAATTTCAACATTTCAGCTCCATATCACCATGGACTTGTTCTATGAGGAGGAAACAGTTGTATGATGTAATTTACTTCATTATTTGGCATTGTCAACTAGAAAAAAGGATCTCTGATGTATTATCTAACAGTATTATCACATCTACAAATGCTCAAACACTCACATCAATGACCCTTTGAATTGCCTGATGGCCATGAAATGTCATGAAAAACAGTGGCAATTGTTCAAACTCTTTGGACCAAAAGTCAAATTCACCTATATGGGTTGATAGGTTCTTCCTGCAACACATTCAAAAACAATACATATGTTTTAAAATATTCAAGTTTTCACCGTAAAAAGAAGTACTACTGTGTGGATGAAATGTGACACTATTATCTGTCATCCTGAAGTATCCACACTAAACCTCAACATTTCCATTATGGCATTCTTTGAACCATACAACGAGCATCTTCTAGTTCAAATCTGAACCTTCGAAAAATTCTTTAAATTATCATCTATTGTAATTAATCCATAATCACAAGAATTAAGATCAATTTTATTATGTCATTTTATGACAACGCCAATGGAATTATTAATACTTGTGTCTTGCTTCCGTTTCTTAGCTGTGGTGAGATAAAAATGCAGTTTGTAAAATCTTGTTTACAACAGTAAAAACTGTAAACAACTACTGTATCCCAGAACGTATAACTCACCTTTAAAGATGGGAGACAAAAGTGCATTTGATGACAAAAACAACAGATGTATCATCTGATATTATTTAATATTATCTTTTTATTTGAAGTGTAGGGAATAAGGTTAATAGGACAGGTGTGAACTATTCTGACCAGTTCCAATAAACGTAACTTAACAGACTTACTTTGCAAACTGTGTGAGCATCACTTTAGCAAGTTTTACATTGGAGATCTCAAAACTTCCCCACAACGTCCTAACCTTTAAAGAAAGGAAAGGATCAAATTTCACAACAAGGAAAATATCTACAAAACTGCAATGGTTCTGGTCCAAATATTACTTAATGTTAGGGTCATTTACACAACGATTTATTTCAAGCCATGTTTATCAAGCTTAAAAACATACAAAATTATAATGACAAGATTGTTCTGTATATATATATAAGCATGGACAGATTATTACACAAAGTTACATGACCCAACATAATTTATCATGATAGTAAAATTCTTGCACTCAAACAACCAAGATAAAACCAGGTGCCAAAATTGCAAGACATGACCAGCATAACTTCAGATAAGATTAGCATTTTCTCACCCCTGCTTCACAAAGGTCAAGTGAATACTCGCTAATAAAGGTTGTTTTTCCAGATCCCGTAGGGCCTGTGACTACAGTCAACTCCCCGCGACGGTGACCTTTCAGAATAGTGTTTAGAGACTTGTACCGCTTCCACTGAAAAACATAAGGAAGAAAACAATCAAGCACCAGACCAGAGCACTCCATTTCTACACTAAGTGTATAACAAACTCCCCGTAACTCAAAATATTGGTTTCCTGGTTACAGCAATTAGGGAATATCTAAAGACTAATATTGAAATCACATAGTTATCATTGTTTGAGTTCTTTTGACAACTGCAACTCAATTTGGTACTTAACAAGGAAGAATTACTGCTCTCTACTTAACTTATATGCCAATTTCAGCAGTCTAAACCTGTTTGAATACATCCTCGATAAACTAGGGGTTGCACTCACTATCACACTCTGTACCTCTGGAACATTCATTGCAAAATTGAAAGTACAAGCACAGTAGTTTGAATGGTATGGAGTGGGTTTCAAGGGGAAAAACTGACCTATCACAGACTGTGCAGATATGCTCCTTTGAAGATTACAAAGGAGTGGAACCCAGCTTTAAAGCCAGTACAAATTTGTTTGATGTACATCCAAAGATCAAACTAGTCTTCTCATCTTATCCACAAAGTGTCACACATGAAACCTTCAATTTTGTCATCAAATGTTCCAAGGGTGCAGAGAGCAATGGTGAGTCTAACCCCTGGAGTATCGAGGATGGTTTGAATATGTTTCAAACTGTAATCCCAAAAGTGATATTTCAGGCAGAGAGTATTCGACAGTGATGGGCTTTCAGGATCTAAAGGCGTGCTTCAACAGCCTTTAACAAGATCTGTCAGGAAGGAAATTAGCATTGGCAATCAATAAAACCATTCATCAATGAACAAACTTTGTCTAAATAGTCCAACCTAGGATAAGCGATAAGTCTATTGACAATGGTTGTTCATGTTGAAACTTTATAAGGGAATTTCTGTGATGTCATATCTTTTGCAGTTAACATAATGGGAGGTAACCCTAAAACATTTATCACTTGGTCACTGGAGCATGAAAGTCTGCATCCAACCATGAAAAGGTACTCAGATCATCCCTGATTCACTGAATCACTAAATGAAGAAATGCAATCAAACATTTCTAGATCCATTTCAAAATCAACTTCTGCAGAAATAGCATTATTATTATCATTTTTTTCCTTTTCACTTCTTTTTTTTTTTGTCAAAGTTGTTTTGAAATCTAACAGATATATAAATATTGATGGCTTAATATTTACCTCTGTTCCGGCCACCAACTTCAGATTGGCCAATTCAGAGTAAACCTCACTTTTCATATCCGAGTATCCAATAATAGACTCATGCATGATCTGATGTGCATTGTTTATGATCTTTTGTATAGACAGGCCCTGCTGTAGGGCTCTATAGGGACCAGGGTTTTCAACACTTGGCCTGTATAACACAAACAAAACTTTGTATTAGCTGAATCATTCAAAAGTTATCACAATTAAAGAAGACCATTTCACCAAGGTAAACCCACACACTAAGTATGAAGTTCCAGTGGCAAATAATGTAGGAGATAGAGCCTTAAAAAAAACTCCTTTAGTAGGTCAAAGGCCACAATGTAGGTCAAAGTTACCTACTTTTGATATATGACACACCATCTCATCAAGGTGAACCCATACCCTAAAGTATAAAGTTCCAGTGACAAATAGTACAGGAGATATGGACCTGGACAAACTTTTTCTTAGATTTAGGTCACAACGACCTACTTTTGATATACAACAAAATGTCTCACTAAGGTAAACTTGTATCCACAGTATAAAGTTCCTGTGATTAGTAGTGTAGAAGACAAGGTCCAGTCAAACTTTTCCTTGGATGTATTGTCAAAGGTCGAAATGCAGGTCAAAAGACCTGCTTTTGATACATGACATACTGTCTCACCAAGGTGAAGTCACATCCCAAGTATTAGTTCCTGTGATTAGTTGTGTAGAAGATAGGACCCAGACAAGACAGTGTAGGATGGATGGACACAACACAAAATCATTGTCCCCTCTGGTTCATTTGGGGGACTAGTAAGGCCATTCCAAAACATTTAAAAGCACTCAGCCAAAAGTGAACTGGTAAATAGCATTTGCTTGGTTCATATTTTTTTTCGAAAACGTCACCAACATTTCTAAGTAATCTGCCTGTTACAAATATGTACACAGTAAACAGTTGTTCACATTGCTGTTTCAGTTCACATTTAAACCATGTTTTGCTAAGTATGTTATTTATTAATGTCAACCCTTGATTTTGTTTCGTGTGTTTTTGGAGAAATGAACCATATGAATCTACAGAGTAGAAGATTTGATTAAGATCCCTGTAATTACCACCCATTATCTTCTTGTTGAACAGATAACTTTATAACAATCATATTTTGTCAACTCCATGTTTTTATATATATTTTTTTAGGACAGGTGAAAGGTCATTCAGTAGCTGCAATAGAGCAATGTGTCATTCACTTAGCTTTGAGTTTTCTTTTATTTTCTTCCTAAATAAACTCAAAACTCTTGGGTAATATCACAGCAATACCTAAAGATGACCTCCTGACCTATGACAGTTTCCATTTTGCGAAAATTTAAGAGAGAGATCCTAAAGAGATCTTGGTGCCCACTATTGTTTGATCTTCATAGTTGCATCTTTTCTCTTTTTTCCTCATAATTATATGAATTATGAGAATTCCTCTCATAAATAACAATAGCAATCTACAACTCTAGGAACAAAGCCACCAGAGTGCTGACAATTTTCTAAGCACCGTGACCTCAGCCTTGACCCTACAATCCTCAAAATCTATCTTGTTTGTGAAATCAAGGTCTTTGTATGAATGTGAAATTTGATAGAAATCATTCCTGGAATGATGCCACTAGAGGTAGGACAATAGTTATGTAAAAATATCAATGATGACTTTGACCCTTTAACCGTGAATCTCAAACTCATCCCAGATATTACTGTCCTATATCAATGTGTTAAGTTTGATGAAAATCCATCAAGAAGCAACTAGAATGCTCTCAAGGATCTTATGGAAATAGTTATGGTTATTTTGACCTTTCAACCATGAAACTATAACTTGTCCGAGATATTATGGTCTTTTGTGCGAGAGTGAAGTTCAATGAAACTCCCAGAAAACATGAATGCATTGGAGTACCAACATTTTAAAAAAAAATTGTAATGATGACCTTGACCCTGACCATAATCTTGAATTTCAAACTCAGCAGAGATATCATAATTCTAAATAAGTTTGATGAAAATCCCTTCAGAAATGAAGCGGTTGAGACTACTGACAAGATTTTTTCTTAACTTTGATCCTATAAACCTGAAAATAAAACATTTATCAGATATTAAAGTTCTTTATTTATAAGTGAGTGAACTCTGATCGAAATCCCTAAAGGAATGAAGCTGCTAGAGTGCTTACAAGGATAAGTCTTTTATTACACACATATGTTATAAACGGGAACATCCCTACATCACCTCCCCAGACATTCATCTCAAGGCCATAATAAAATGGTGACGTTACAATACCAATGGGTGGGCTTATTACCAGACAAGTCCTAATTGCTGAAAGAACTTTGTATTAACTAATACACATGTTCTCTATATAACATATAATTATAGAATCAAAGTGCTTATGACATGCATATACTATTCTCAAACACTTCCCAAGAAGATTCTTTTTTTTTTTTGCTATTAAGGAAAAAACAACTGGATGGTATTAGGACTTCTTTCGCAATAGTCACATCCTAATTTTAGATAGTGTAACCATGTTACCATTAGACACTATCATTAGTATGACACATATTTCATGGGCCAATGTATGAGGATGGCAAGATCAGTCTATGAAATCTTCCAATATGTTGCAGTTTCAGTTGCAAGAATGTTAAAAATATAATCAAATATGGTTATATTAAGCTGAGTGCTGACCAACTGTTACACAAGTGCTGAGAAATAGCCAAATGCTGGCCAGTCAAGCTCAGATATGAAAAAAGAGATATTCCTGTCTATGAAGCAATTCCACACAAAATTCCATTCATCTCAAACCAGACAAAAATACCCACACCTGTTAATAAAAGAAAAGCAGGATCACATCATACAGCCTTTAAAACATTAATCAAAATACTTTCATACCATAATGTTGGTCCATGATCACTTCAACAGTGTAAAACAGAAAAAAATTATTATAATTCTTTAATTTTTTTTCAATAGTTTTCATTCATTCATCATCTATTCATTATTCATTCTTGTTGTTGCAGTTGTTGTTGGTTTTATTTCAAGCTGGTAGGTTTTATTGGCAGTGGTACAAAAACATCAATAGGAATCAATGATGTTCAAAACATCAACAACAAATGACTGATTATCCTGAATTAAGCCCAGGTCACTAACAAATACAGCAACAATAATGGTGAGGAGATTCAAGGGGTCATTGGGCCCTAAAAATGAAAAGGACCCCTCCATATATAGTCAATTTTACATAGAATGGTCCCCCTTTATTCCTTAATTTACTTCAACTTGAAGAAAATGAGCCATGAGCCATTGTTCTCTGTTCCTTGGAATTTCCCTTTTATAACCTGTGTAAAAATTGAGGTGGGTAATTATATAACATTTGAAAGCATTACTAACAACGTTAAGGATACTAAACACATGAATTGGTTGTTTGTTCAGGGATAGTTTTATAATCATTGAGACGGTTACATTTACTATAATACAGGGGAATTTGAGTTATTGACCAGAACTCAAGTTAATAAGTTGAAATGAATGTTCTATTCTAATTTACAGCAACAGCGACTTTGATCTAAACTGACATTTTCACTTGAAAAGTAATCCAAATATTGATCTAAACTGACATTTTCACTTAAAAAGCAATCCAAATATTACCAGCTAAGTCATTTAAGAAAGCAGTGTGAAAAATTTATGTTTGATCTGTCCAAGGAACTAGAGTTGTTGAGCAACAGTGACCTTGACATTTGAGTCTAATAGCAATCCGAAGCCAGCATTACTCATGAGAAAGCAGTGCTTGACGTAGGAGTTTAATCAGTCCACTTGGATTTACCTTTTGTCTAAAAATGGTGACAGATGGACAAAGGCATTACAATATTCCTTCTCGAGCTTCTATCAGTAGATAATGTAGATGTGGATATGCTTATTACCAGACATGGTCTTCTGTCAGAAAAATATAACACAGGGGTGACAGGAACCAACTCACCTGATTATGTAGCACCTGGCACCATTCAGTTTCCTGGCAAATGCTTTTGCTGATTTCCAAGATAACAGGTCGTTCTCAAACCACAGTAGGATCTTCGTGAATCTTTCTAGGTCAGGTAAGCACTATATAAACAAATATTCTTATGTCTATTAATACAGATAAATATATCGAGTAATTAAACAAGTTGTCACTTAGAGATCACTGATATCGGTATTGTTGGAAATCGCCCAAGAAGACATGAACTTTACTTTCTTCTATGGCTGGGGCAACATGGTAATATCCATACAGGCAGGAGTTAATTGTTTCTAAACTAAGGGGCACTGAATTCCTGTTGGGATATCACTCAGCTTGTTAAGACATGAATGAGATGCCTTGTAGACATACAGAGTTCCTGCTACTGTAACAGCAGTGAAGTAATTCAATGCTTTAACTTCAAATACAGTACAATCACATATTTTTGAGGACCTCAAATTTCATGGTTTTCATAAAATACACATATTCGATTTCATGGTATATCTAGCCAACGAAACTGCTAGTGGTATCATCCATGTCAACTTTTATTCATTTATTATTTCATCAACCTATAAATTCATAGATTTTAAGTTCCTAAAAAAACAGCAAAAATAAATCCCCCACAAAAATAATGATTTTTCAGTATGCATGGACAGTTATTTGCAATGCGTATATTTCAGTATGTATATTTTTATTTCTTTACACAGGAAATTTTGCCTTTAAAATATCCTGAGTTATATCCCCTGAGACTTAAAACAGTTTGTACACCTATAGAAATAAAAAAAACCCAATCTTTTGACTATATTTACCTCAATGGGTGTGGAAGAGATACCCATGGGAAGAGCTAAAGCTTTATTTTTTGTGACCTCTGTGATAGCCATGGCGTCAAATTCACTGGCGGTGAGGATTACGGATTTGTCCTTCATGGAAATCTGGTTCCAGCCAAACAGGTGAGACTTTCCAGATCTGATGATCAAAAACGGGTAAGATTTTGTAAATGTTATTTGATTATGATAAACAGCTGCCATGTCATGTAGTACTTTTTTTAGTAGTAATGGACACAAAACAATTAAATATACATGTGTATAAATACACAGCCATTGCTATCAACATGTTGAAATAACAATTATGCTTCCAACAAATTTTGGTATGAAAAATGAACCAAGGGAACATTTTATTAGAACTTTTTATTATCTGATATTTCTTCTATACAAAATACTAAAGTATGTTGCAATATACTAGTTATTAGTTTCAGGTTTTCGGTCTCCGTGATACCTCCCGTTACTGGGTATTATCTCACCGACGATCACAGTGTCCTGGCGACATGAAGAGGCGACCAGCGTACCCTATCAGGGGTGGAACTGCCTGTAGCAGTGTTTTTGATTATGCAAGTTTTAGAAGATAGCTCCAAGGCCTGATAATGCCTTATCCTAACTCTGGCAGTCTGCATCATGTCCAGAAGTGGGGAAGGAAAGATTAGGACCTATGTAGGTTTGGTTAGGTTTGGGTAATTTTGAAGTCCGTCAAATGCCTTAAAAAAAATTTCACTATCCCTAATCACCTGAACCAGTATTATCACGTCTTTTCTATTTTGAAAAGCCAGAGGGATCTTTAGCATGCGAGAATGGACAGTCCTAACACAGGCCACTATCTAAGTTCTGTTCACCGAACCAGTTTTATCCTGATTAAATAGGCAGGGCATTGTCCACAACATAATAACTAGGTAACTGAGTTCGGGTTTAGTGCCAATTAAACAGGATGCAAACTCTTCTGTTGATATAGTATGAGGTTAATATGTTGATTTAGTGTTGCTTTACATCCTATCAACAGCCAGCCATTTAAGGACATGCCAAGTTTGGGTGATGGAGGAAAAGTCGCCAACCTATGACCAGTAAGCCGAGAGCAAATCAGCTAAATAATGGAGTAATATAGAAATCCACTCATGTATTAAAACAAAAAATCACAAAACCACACAATTAATTTGTCATTTCATTTGTTTATGATTCTTACGTGGACATGAATTCCTGTGAAACCTCAAAGCTATCGATATCTTCCAGCGACTGACATGTGAGTTTTTTAACGCTGATTAAGGTCTTGTCTGGCAAGTAATACGGAAGCAGGAGTGCTTGGTCATCATGATGATATCTTATATCATAATTCATTAAGGTAGATAAAGATAGATTCTACAACAAACAGAAAGACATCCAGTTAAAAATGACATCCAAATGTAACCTTCCTTTTAGTTTATCATTTCTGATATTCAAATACAAAATCACAAAACAATGAATACATATGTAAAGTAGAATTTAAGCCTTACCTACACAAAACAACTTCCTGGATGTAAAAATCCTCCACATTTCTTTCTCAACATCAACACAACCACCATAATGACACTTCTAGAGGGCATAATATCTTAAACAGTTTTTTTACTACTTCCATACAAAGACAGCCTTCAAGTACACAAAATTTCAAACACTTCTTTAACCATTACTATAAGAAGACAACTTACATAACATTCAAACATCTCCTGGACCAGTTCCAGCTCAATTTTCTCCAGTTGTTTCAGTAGAACTCCCTCGTTGAGATATCTTTCCACTTCACTTGTACCCTGTTTCAGGGGAACTGCTCCTTGGACTGCTGCCATGCATGGGTGATCCGCCCTAGAAACAAACGGCAGCAAAGTGTAATCTTATCTACATTCAGCACAATAATTGAAAATGTGTAGTACTCAAATGGACTTCTTTTGTATTCCATGACTTACTGTGGCTTCAAAAGCTTGGTAAAGAAATTCACTCCAACAATATGAGAACAAATACAACATGGCTTTGTTTTCATCTTATATCTGTCTTAGTTTCTGAATCTGCACCTTAATCATGATCTAGACCTTGAACCACAATAATCCTGCTGAATGGTCCAGAGGTGATCTTCAAACAATTAGATTTCAGCATCTTAAAATCAATGATAGGATAGTTGTCTTTAAATTTAGTTTATACCTCGGATACCTTCTTCAGATCATTTAATGTTAATGTCACTGTTACCTTGACCTCTGACCCCAACCATTTTGCCAACGCTAAAAGCAGCAGAATTTTAAAGGGAACATCATTTATGGTCTAGTTTGAAACTGATTTGCATACACACTGACAGATAACATAAATTCTAAAGACTTTTTCCACAAAAGTATAATTTTTTTTAAAACCAAAATGGCACAGTCTGGTCTAATTAACAGACCTGGGAGCCTGGTTTCCTACAGTTTTGGTGTCATCATCATGCAAGATAAAAAGTATTTATTAAATGAGTCCATAACTATCAAACCTCAGTGAAAATTGAAAAAAAAAAACCCATAAAATTGCCTAAGACTTGATTGTTGAATTTACACAGAATACAATGAATATGTAAAGATTAATATAAAATGTGCTCTACCCTGAGCCAGTATACCATTGTTGTACACAACTAGATAGGTGCAATCAGCGAAAAAGGAAGAAAGGTATGGAGTTTTGGAGTCTTGTAAGACTTTTCAGATTGTACATGTGTAAAATACATCACAATTATATCTGTAAATCTGCTGAAAATAGCTGAGAAGCAAATTTAATTAATAGCCAACTTGCATATGCTGTATTGATATTCAGAAAAAGAAAATGAATTTTTCAGTAAGTTCTTACCTACAATACCCACTTTTATTTCAAGCTGTCAAGCTGAAAACAAGTGTTTATGTATTTATACCTGGATTTGCCCTTGAGTTTCTGCATGTCTTCTAAGTTAAGCTGAAGAGCAGACCAGGTGCCCCTGTGCTGACATTCATCACACTGGAAATGGCCTTAAATAACATACAAGGAAACATATACAACCTTATTCTTACTTTTCTACCCTACAGAGGTAATTCTGATTCAAATCAACTAAACTTTGTCTGATAGTTTACATTACCTTGATATACAATTTAATGAAAATATACAATTATAAATAATATAACAATTACTTTTTGAAATTATAAGAAGTTTTATCAATTCTTCAAACACTTTCATTACATGACATAAAATGACACAAGATAAAAATCATGTACTGAAGATTGAACATACTGTAAACATATGAGATACATTTCATAAATGAATGCAAATTTCAACAAGAGATCCTAGAGGGATCTTGGCGCCCACCATTTGAGGATCTGTTTTCAGTTCTTGAAGATTTGTTTATTTTTTGTTTGTTTGTTAAGGTGTTGTAAATGTTCATGAACTGATCTTCATTGAATGTACTCAATGATGGCACAAGATATTTTTATCAAGCACCTATTAGCAAATATCATTTGAAAAATATCCCAAAGTATTATTAGATAGCAGTCAGTTACAGGTGGATAATGGACAATATGCTTGTGCTGTATTACTGTCGATATCCAAGATGGCTGCCTGTGGGCCACCTTGATTTCAAATCAGTCCAAAAAAGGTACAATGCACAACTAGGGACCAATGGAAACCAATATCTATGAAATATCAGAAGGATCCATACAGGACTTCCTCAGATATAGCAGTAACAAGATTTTATTCTCAAAATCCAAGATGGCTGCCTGTCAGCCATCTTGATTTCAGATCAGTCCAAAAAGGTATAATGCACAACTTGGAACCAAAGGGAACCTGCATATGAAATTTGAGAAAGATCCATCCAGTACTTTCCAAGAAATAGCAGTAACAAACTTTTACATTCAAAATCCAAGATGGCCACCTGTCTGCCATCTTGAATTTGAATCAGTCCAAAAAAGGTACAAAGCACAACTAGAAACCAAGGGGAAACTGCATATGAAATTTGAGAAAGATCTACCCAGTACTTTCCAAGTAATAGCAGTAACAAACTTTTACATCCAAAATCCAAGATGGCTGCCTGTCGGCCATTTTGAATTTGAATCAGTCCAAAAAAGGTACAATGCACAACTAGGGACCAAGGGGAAACTGCATATGAAATTTGAGAAAGATCCATCCAGTACTTTCTCAGAAATAGCGGTAACAAACTTTTACATCCAAAATCCAAGATGGCCACCTGTCGGCCATCTTGAATTCGAATCAGTCCAAAAAAGGTACAATGCACAATTAGGGACCAAGGGGAAACTGCATATGAAATTTGAGAAAGATCCATCCAGTACTTTTCCAGAAATAGCGGTAACAAACTTTTACTTCCAAAATACAAGATGGCCACCTGTTGGCCATCTTGAATGCGAATCAGTTCAAAAAAGGTACAATGCACAACTAGGGACCAAGGGGAACCTGCATATGAAATTTGAGAAAGATCCATCCAGTACTTTTCCAGAAATAGCGGTAACAAGAATTGTTTACGGACAGACGGACGGACTAACGGACCATGGACCACGGACGCAGGGCGATTTGAATAACCCACCATCTATTAGATGGTGGGCTAATAAAATGATAAAAATCTTGTTGAAGCGTCAATTTAGACATGAACATAAAAGAAAGATGAATTACACATATCACTAATTACAGACATTATATATTTTTTTTCTTGGGGAGTGGGGATCTGTAACAAATTTACAAGTACCTTGTAATCTACAAATCAATGCATGTATAAATATCCACGGTTAAACTCATTAAAATCTGACAGAAGTTTTAATATCATTGAATTTCATGAGGACAAACAAATACTACAAACAAACAAAACCCTTACAATTTAAGCCCATATAAAATAAAACAGAATTGTCCAAAAAAAGCTTACAAAAATTAAAATTTCGAAGACTTCATAAATTCTCATATGAAATACAAACTCATTTAAGATTCTATCATGTATTTCGGTACAATAAAGTGTTCAGGTGACCATGTCAAACTTACCAGAGGTAGCATTGATTTATGGGTTCAATAAAGTGTTCAGATGACCCTGATAAACTTACCAGAGGTAGCATTGATGTATAGGTTCAATAAAGTGTTCAGGTGACCTTGATGAACTTACCAGAGGTAACATTAATGTATAGGTTCAATAAAGTGTTCAGGTGACCCTGAAGAACTTACCAGAGGTAGCATTGATGTATAGGTTCAATAAAGTGTTCTGGTGACCCTGAAGAACTTACCAGAGGTAACATTGATGTATAGGTTCAATAAAGTGTTCAGATGACCCTGATAAACTTACCAGAGGTAGCATTGATGTACAGATTCCCTTTTTTGGCTCTCTTTTGCTTTGACAGCTTTGGACACCGTGTAATCAGACAGGTGTAGCCCTCAGCCATAGGTTTCAGACCATACTTGACTGCTGCATCAATAACATTGGATGGTATATTCTCCACCATCTTTAACATTCCACCATAACGTAAATGTTCTTCCATTTCATTGAATGAAGGTTTTCTCTCCATGAACAACATTGACTCTGGATTTTTCAGCCATTTCATCTCTTCCTTCACAACTTTCTGGGAAAGACTTCCAATTTTTTCCTCCCCTGTCACTTTTTCATCTTTTTCTTTGTCCTTTTTTGTTTTTCTTTCCTGCAATAAATTACAATCTGCCGTTAATTCATTTCCAGGTGGTAAAATGGGAGGTTTTCCCCTTACTGATTTGTGCTTTCCATTTTCTGTACCTACTACATCTAAATCATCCAATACCTTGCCAATGGTCTTCTCTTCTTGAACAGTATCATTTTTGTTTAATTCTAAACTTGATATTGGTGTATCCATTCTTGTTCCACTTTCCTCAATGTAAGGTGAGACAACAAAACAATCACTTGTTCTTTCTTCAACAGTTCCATTTGCAGAAATGGAGCATATTTTTTCGTTTCCTTTCTGAGACATTTTGTCTTCAAATGTACGAGGCCAGTCCTGATTCAGATTCAGTGAGTGGGAATCATTATTTCTGCATTTCATGTCTTCACATTGACTTTTTGCAGTACTAGGTGTGTCTTCTTTACCTACTGTAATCTCTTTTGTATTTCTTGAAACAAAGCCATCTTCAGACGCAGCACATTCCCTCGTGCAAGATAAATTGTCTTCAAAAGTGATGTCATCAGATTTCAACAGATTAGAAGAACTGTGAAATAGCCTGGATGAATTAACAGGCTTGACATATGCCATCAAAGTACATGTAGCTCCATCTCTGTATCCAAGTTGTGTTGATGACAAGTATCGCAATTTTGATTTATAAATTCTCCTTTTGGCATCGGTATTTACTTGGAATTCTGAGTTCACATCAGTAAGCGGATGGAGACCTTCTATCAACTTTTTTCTTGAATCACAACGGCTGCTCTGTGCATCTCTTTTGTCTTTAAGAAGATAGTACCTGACAACTGACCAAGTCGGAGGCAGTTTTGATGGAAATGCCAAAGTTGGCGGACAAACCTGTCCCAAAACAGCTCCACTAGAAGCAGCAGAGGCTGAAGTCTTCTTTCTTGACTGCAAAACACAATACCTTGAATGGTTCCCATCTACTCTACTTTTGTTTAAAACTGGAAAAGCTTGTAAGGGTAGTTCAGGCTGTGGAACTACACCTTTTGATAAAGTAGGACAATTATGATAAAACCAAGACAACTTGTAGCTCTTCTTCATTGCAGCTTCTGGACCGAAAACTCTCATCAAACTTCTGTTCCTAAAGATAAACAAGGACTGGTTTTGGATTCAATCTCATCTGAAAAATAGAACAAGAAAGTATTTGTTTTTATTTTTTTTTCATAAGAATATCATCTTTATACTAATGAAAACAGTAGCAATAATATACCTCGCAAGAGTTGAAAATGCAATAAAGGCAACTTATTAGTTTCAGTTATTGGAAATTTCTCATAAGTCCAACATTAGGATGTTCAGCTGATCACCAAAAGAATATAATCTTGAAACCCTGCAGGTGCTTTTCATTACTCCTTCCTATTTCACAAGCACATACTGAGTAACATACCATGCATAATTAGATTATGCAATAAGACAAGGGGTGCAACAAAATCACTCAGTCTCAAAGCCAGGGGGTGGACTTACATACCAGGCAATGAACAAGCATTTGTCTGTAATTCCACCAAATAGCAATACTTGTAAATATGGGTTATTGCATACCAGTCAAGTCACATCCAAAATTTTACATTTCATTTTCTATGTCACCTGAAGAACTGAAAACAATGACCCAAGCAAGACATGTACTTCTCACAAGATCTCCTGTTTGCATCAGAAAAGTGAAATATTCTCATAATGCATGAATAACTCATAAATTAGGGTCCCAACCCTGAAAAAAGAACAACGGCTTATTTATGTATACAATGAGGTATGAATCACCTGTAACCCTTACCCTTTAGAGATGGCAAGGGGACATGTATGACACTTGGGGTGGCCAGGTCTAGCCAGGTATGGCTATTCAACTGACACAGTCAATTACTAATCAGCCTCCGATTATAACAAGAGTCCATCACTCCAAAAACAAGCACTAGTTATAGATGCGATTCATACACTGAAATATGAAGTGAAGCATACTCATAAACATTGTTTAGATGTCATCTTGTACTGACCACAATGTTGGTTAAATGACAACCTGAACATATAATTATGCTTTTTAATGTAAAAAGATCTCATTTCATAAAAAAAACGAAAGACATCTTCTCTATATATTTGTGCCTGAAACTGGTATTTTTCACTTCTGTGGAGAAAGCTTAACAGCCATTGGTCACTACGTCATAAGAGGGACACTGCCAAATTTCAAGACTCCATACTTATATGGAATTTTGCTCTAATCCATATTGTACAGTGTTCATACATCTTAAAATTCAACACAATTTTGGGAATCAAAGTTGTATCAGGGTGTGATCGTGCCATTAACTGATATCAGGTCTGGCTATATATTTGTTTTGTTTTTTGTTTTGTCAGTAGAAAATGATGACGACATGCATGACATCCTAGTTATGATTGCTGGAGACTGTGTATAGCATGTACTTATGTGCGTGTTATTTAAATGCCTCCGATAGGATTTGAACCCATGACTTCTGGTTTTCTAGTCTGGCACTCAACAGATCAAGCTAATGAGTTACCTCTTGCCGTGCAGTATATTTCGGGTAGTATTTATCAGGGTTACTTATGTTGTTTGTTTGTTTGTTTTTGTTTTTGTTTTTTTGTCAAAACACTGATCTGATACTATTATTTTTCGTAGTTTCCACTAGTGTTTCACATATAATTAACCGTTGGTAATAGTGCTATTTGTGGTAAAAGATAACCAATATGTAGCATTAATATGGCAGTACCAATATAACTCACGTATAACCATGTATGGAATCATATGAGAACATGTGCTCGATGACAAGCGCCATTTCAGGATTTCCCTCCAAAATATCAGAGGGTGTCCGAATGAACAATCGGGAAGGGAGACAACTACAAGTAAGCCTCATGTGTATATCAGTTTTGATTTACTCGGCAGTGGCGGAAAATGACTGTAATTTTAGCATGTCCATTATAGACCTATAATTAATTCTGATTTATTTAACGTTTATACAAATATCAATTAACTGTTTTATTTCTTGTAATGAACAATACTGTCTATGAAAACAAAGATAGTAAAAATGTTGTTAAACTTTTTAGAAAGTATAAATACCAAAATAAAAGCTGCATTATTGATCTGCAAGGGGCTCACCACTTTTACCTTTCTGCACCGAGGCATCGCCACAACAAATACAACTTAACTTTTAAGCGATTGACACGCATCATCTATATTTTGGTTAAAATTGGCTTGTCATAATTGCCTTTCAGAACTAAATTGTAATGGGTACATTTGCAAACTAACACGTTTCTACAAAAACATAAGCATGGAATTTCAAATTAATACTAATTTAGCTTATTTTACGGGCAGGACGATTTACCCAAATCTTAACATCCGGGTATCTTGTCCTAATATTAACCAATTCACCTGCGTTCTAACGTTTATTATTCAGGATAACCTCAATGACGTTAATTCTCTGTTTCGATTATTTCCCTTTAAACGTAACAGCGTTTTTGTTTGCTTGTTTGTCTGTAATGTACGTATTTAAATAAAACAGAACAGAAAACAATCAACTGCATAAGATATATTTTATTTCCTTTCACATTAATGTATCACAACAGTTATTAAATATATTCCTTTATGCACCCGTCATATAATATTACAAAGGGTTATTTTATTAAAACAACAATTATATGGTCATTTTTTATGGAAAATACGAAATCGTGAAAATATTTCGTTGAAATATATTTTATAATGCACACACAAAAAAATTAAATGATAATTTACAAAAGTAACATGTTTTGAACCATAATAATAATTATGATAATAATAATAATAATGATAAAACAGCAAATGAATAATATATATACATATATAAATACTGTTAACAATCAATGACATTATAAAGAGATAAATACATATAAATCCTGGATGACAACGTGTTCTTAACTTTTAATCAAGTGACACGTGACGAGGTGACGATCCTGTCTGTAACCAATTGATTTAATATCAAGTTATGTAACCTAGTAAAAATACGAATCAAGACAACAAAAAGTATTTGATTTAAAATGCACGACCGTTCTCTTTGCCTGATACATTGTGATATAAGCCTGACTTTTTGCCGCCAGCTTGTTTGGGCTTTGGATAAAGTCAGTATTCGAAGCCCGAACAAAGCTGTTTACGGGTTTTGGTTTCTTGGTTGCCATTTCTTCTCTTTTTTTAAGAATCTGTCTTTTTCTGTTGACTGAAAATTTGTCATTCCAAGGTTGATGGTCCAAAAAGAGACACGTTGTGTTTTCTTAACTTGAACATTCTAAATAATCTAAACCAAATCTTTGTAGGCCCCTAATCCTTTAGTGTCCATTTCTGGACATGTTTCGGGCTGATGGAGTTATGATAAGGCATTATTTGGCGCCGCAGCCGTCATTCATAACTAGTATTATCAAACACACATCGCGGTAGACGGCTCCATCCCTTTGATGGGGATGCTGGTCGCACCTTTACGTCACCAGAACACTGGTGAGACGTTGCCTGGAAATGGGAGGAGCTGCGGAGACGGAAAACCTGTCAAACAACCAAGTGTGGTTCAGCAGACAGCGGTTTGGCCACAGGGGCTAGCAGTAGTCTCCACGTAAATCTTTCTTTGTTCATATGTTGCCCTAGTTTTATTGAATTTGATTTTGGATTGTGATTATGTTGACATGTGATATTTTCTTCTTATTTTTCATAAAATCTCAGATGATATATAAAAAAAACTTATCTACGATCCAATATACATTATTAAGTGCATCACAATCATCCATAATGACATTGGCAGTACGACATACATCAGTGTAATTTGGATCTGACGGAACGCCACACCGTTAATGATAAATAAAACAAAAAAACATACATATACATGTTTTTATTTACAAATTTCAGGCACTTCAACCACGCCTTCTTCTTAATTCCACAAGTTTTTCTATCTTCATCTCTGTACCGTTTTTTTTTAATTGGGCTAAAGAAAAATATAACTTGAACATAACCGAAGTTTATTTACCGTAAATGGGCAAATAAGACATAAAAAGGCAAAGAGCAGCTGTAGACATACATCACAAATAAAATTGTAAATGAGAATATTGACAAATATGCCGTAATAGCATGTATCTACTTGTTTGCTTCATTTGACTTATTAAAAGAAAGCTGAATTTAGCTTAAAAACTATTGAATATTTTTTCTTCAAATTCTTTGATATTAATATTTTCCTCTATTAGGCTTTAGCTAAATTTGGATTAAATAGTATTAAATATTTTCTTTTCCAATTTTTTTTTTATATTTTCCAGCAAAAGGCTAAAGCTAACATTGAATTAAGCAGTAGTACTTAATACTTTTTCTTCAGTAAGTTTTAATTTACATGAATGTAATAAATTATCATAACACTCAAGTTGTTACAAAGTTCGTTCATACTCAAATTTAAAAAAAAAAATTACTAACAGCGAAATCGTACTACATTGGATAAAAATACGATGGTAGAATTGAATTGATACCAAAGTATGATTGATGTGCAAGTTTCTTGTTAAATCTGTTACCGAAATCAGCATCAGCAGCGATTCCGATAATATGCAACTGAAAAAATGTGTCGTCAGCGGGAATGTCCTTACAATTTAAAACATTACACATAGCTAAGCATTATAACGTGTACACAATTATTTTGCTTTTTCTCTTTTTGTAAAAAGTGCCCTCGTACCATAGTGTATTACAATCATAAAACACAACAATATAAAAAGAATGGCTGTATTAGCTAAAAAAAACACCATCGAGTGACAAATATGTACAAGAATATAAAAATATACAAGGATCTCCAATCAAGCACTTAGCACATACAAAACATTGTAGGTTCTTAAAGTGTATCTAATATAGAGTTATAATTACTCGCGTTGATATACAACGGGCCCATAACTTGTCAGTCAATCAATAATTCATTTCCTGTACATATCTAGGAAACAAATAACTTTTTATTTATTTATTTTAGTTCTCAGAAGTGTCAGCATAAATCACATTACAGTGAGGTCACTAAAAGTATAATA